TTCATGGAGTTTTGAGGTTTATGTTATTTATACCAAGAGAACAACACTAAAACGCCATGCATAGGCGTGCGTGAGAGGGGAGGCTTGGTGGGGTTCCACACCCCCTTAGTCTGTTTATTCCGGCAGATTTTACTTACAAATCGGGCAATTTGCTAGGCCCTGCCTACCTGGGGAATAATTTATTTTGTCATGATATTAATGTTGAGATGTTCATATTAATGTTAAGTCAGAGAAACTGGATGACATATAAAGGATGTTAAACTATGCACAGGTTTTGCAATATTTTGTTCCAAGAGGTCTTTTCCTGGATCATGCAGCTTAACACTTTCAGGTTAAAGTTATTCATGCCGAGTAAACAACATTCAAACCAAAAATCCATGCATGATTTGATTATGCTCGTGGTGCTAGTCTCACAAGTAGGCATGCATGTATATAAGTGATATTGTTAAACAATGTACACGAGCAGATTCTTCCAAGAGATATCTTTCTGGATTATTCTTAACACCCTTTAATTAGCAGCAAATGAGTTAAGATTAATGCATTAAAGACTTATGTAGGACGAAGGGTATTTGGTGTGAATTGTATATTATAATGAGGCTTTTCGTGCATGCACTTTGGGGAATTTACGATTCTACAGTATTTATGAAGTATGGAAAGGTAATACGTTAGCAAATGAAGAATCCCTTATAGGCTATAATGATGTATTTTAGCAAAAAATGAAAGGAAGGAAATATAATAATTACCGGCTGGGAGGTCCGGTAGAAAATATTTTGTCGAGATCTCAAGCTAGGATTCCGCCCGCTGCTGATTTACAAAAAAATAAAGATATTTATTTTTGTAAATACAATTTTTGGAATAAAATAAAATGAAAGGAAGGAAAGATCTTTATTGTTGTTGTAAATGCAATTGATATACACAGCGTAACATGGTTTCGTATGAACTGCGAAAAAATGAAGCATCTTGACAAAAGTTGGTTAAACTAGGAATATCGCTCTTTCTTTCTTGTCTTGATAGGGTCGAAAGCTCTTTCAGCTTATCCCTCCATCTCATCCTCTATTTCCCAACTGTTCGTCGTCTTCCTATTAGATGTCTTCATGACAACTGGACGTGATCTACTTGTACCTCCTCCCTTCTCAAACCGTGCTCAAACTGATTTTCTGATATCCCAATATTAGCAGCTTCATAATTTCAACGTCTTTCTCTCAAATGATACTCCAAGATTTCACTTCAGCATTTCGATTTCTGTTCTATCCACTTAGCTGTTTTATCCATTTACTTGCTTCTCTCTTCCGTAATAGCCCACGTCTTTGAGTCATACTGATGTATACTTTCACTTTGAGTTTCTTTGGCGTCTTCCTATCCGTAGCTAGACCGATAATTGGGTATATTCATATATTCATGTTCTTCCCGACGGATTTCTTTTGAAAGCGATTGTTTTTACGGTATGTGAACATGAGTATATGAATATACACCCCCCCAATTATCGTGTCTAGCTACGGCCCTGCCACCAGTAGGCTGCTAGGTAGCTCATTCATCTTCGCCCAACCACGCTTTCTATACTCCATCGAACACTTCATTTCCTCCTCGTTTTGTTATTATTATTCTTGCGGCAATTAACCCTTTCCGAAGTTGATGAGTGGACTGGGGACGAGTGTTAAAAAGTGCCCAAATTAAGAAATCATTAAAAAGACCACCTCAAAATCAGCATGTATACAAAGTTTGAAGATGTTTACATGAATACCCTTCGAATAATAAGCTTTCAAAAATTGTAAAATTACTGATTAAAAGACTATTTTTGCGACGCGCGTCCCCAAAACAAAAATTACAGTACATTTCATAATAAATATCGCGATTTTCGAAAGCTTGTTATTCGAAGAGTATTCATGTAAACGTCTTCAAACTTTGTATACTTACTAATTTTGAGGTGGTCTTTTTTAGTGATTTGGTTCATTTCTTAATTTGGGCACTTTTTAACACTCGTCCCCAGCCCACTCATCAACTTTGGAATTTCTAATAAAGAAATAAAATACAAATTTACTTCCCCTCGTATGCGCTTTAATTTAAGATAACTTCAATATACTTTTTAGAAACGTGCAGGAAATACAACCAGATGTGTTTTCCGCGAACAACATGGGAAGGACGCATACACTAGGTACGAGTCTGAAGAATTCAATGGAAAGTTTATATCCTTTAGTAGAAAAGGACTTCACAGATATAAAGCAGAGAGCCAGTTCGGAACTAAAGCTGTACAATTTGTTGAACGACCAAGATCGGAAGTTATTGGAAAGGATGGTAGAAGCCTAGGGTATGTAAAATGTTAACAGCAGCAGCAGGAATAAAAGAACGACAACAATAACAATAACAGCAAACACAACAACAACAACAACAACAACAACAACAACAACAACAACAACAACAACAACAACAACAACAACAACAACAACAACAACAACAAGGAAACAACAACAAGGAAACAACAACAACAACAGCAAGGAAACAACAACAACAACAGCATCAACAACAATAAGCACAATAACAACAGCAGCAACAATAACAACGGCAACAACAACAACAACAACAACAATAACAACAAGGAAACAACAACAACAACAACAACAACAACAACAGCAGCAACAATAACAACAACAACAACAACAAGGAAACAACAACAACAACAACAACAACAACAACAACAACAACAACAACAACAGCAACAATAACAACGGCAACAACAACAACAACAACAACAACAACAACAACAACAACAACAGCAGCAACAACAATAAGCACAATAACAACAAGGACGACGACGACAACAACAACAACAACAACAACAACAACAACAGCAAACACAACAACATCGAGAATAACAGCAAACACAACAACAACAACAACAACAACAACAACAACAACAACAATAACAGCAAACACAACAACAATAACAGCAAACACAACAACAACAACAACAACAGCAGCAACAGCAGAAGGAACAGCAGCAGCAGCAAGACAACAACACCAGCCACGTTTTCAACACGGATTATTACATAATTTTTGTTTGAAATATTGCACATTCTAAGGTAACAGAATTAATAATAGCAACTTCTTCAACATTTTTAACACAAAGCTTTATGTTATCCTTGTTTTAGATATTATACATCCAGAGGTAAAAAAGACACGATAACGTCAGCGATGATGGAGCAGCATAAAGAGATGGCACGTAAAATGGGACGGTTAAGCCATTTATATCAGGAGAATAATCCATCTTCAAACCCGCTTCATAATGGAAAGAATACTAAAAAGAGCAGAAAGAACAAACATAAAAAGAACCGAAAGAATAAACATAAAAAGAACCGAAAGAACAAACATAAAAAGAACCGGCGAAAGAACAAAAATGAAAAGAAGAAACATAGCAATGCTAAACAACAAGAAGAAACAAAAGACAATGGAAGGTTTCCTCCTAAAGGAAGACTAGGAAGCATATGAGAAAGAGTAAGAGTGAAACATAGAAAAGTAAAGAAGTACTGAGGCAAAAAAAATGTGGGTTTCCGGTTTCCCGACCCTACCTAGCTTTTCGACGTCGAAATGCCGACCCTAAACTTTTTTATTGGATCATGCTTGTAAGTGTTTCCACTTAGAGGAAAAGTTTGTGGAAAATTGAAATTTGAGGCAATATTAGGGAAATTTATCTTTGGATGTGGAAGCACCGACTAAACAAAATGGCGTCCGCTAATTCGGAAAATTAAAAAAAAAGTTAAAAAAAAAGAAGTTAAAACCGACCTACCCTACCTAAGTTTTTATAAGAAGAAACCGGAAACCCACATATTTTTTTTTTTGGCCTGATCAAGATCGTTTGAAATATCATTACGATCTTGAGGTTACAATGGACCTTTCCCCTTATAACTAAAATTTCGATCTAGACAAAAATTTCATCACAGCTTGAAAGAGCATCACAAAATTAGTAATATTCCAAAGTTTTGTTGCAAAATCTTGTAAAATGCGGATAATATAGCCTTGCGAAGTTTGCCGTTTTTCAGTTATTTTGTATTACAAACGGGAAATTGACATACGATTCGGGTGTTGGGGCTGCAATTTCCCGTTTGTAATGCAAAATGACTGAAAATTGCAAACTTCGCAAGGCTCTATTTTCCTCATTTTACAACATTTCGCAACGAAACTTTGGAATATTACTAATTTTGTGATGCTCTTTCAAGCTGTGATGAAATATTTGTCTAGACTTGCCTAGATCAAAATTTTGGTTATAAGGGGAAAGGTCTATTACAACAAATTTACAAGCATCAGTTGAAGGAAGACGACCACCGTTGAAAATGGCGAATATTTGTTTTTGGCACAACGAGACAAACCTTTTCAAGGAACTTTTATTTATTGCAATATGATTTATTGGGAATATGTTTACACTGCATGTATATGACCACGAACCCTGATGCTACAGGTTTTAGGATCGCCTGTAGAGCAATTAGCCATTTCCCAATCGAGCAGAGGACTGGGTCTAGTCGCTTGTTTGGAGGGACAAAAATAAACAATATGCCGAATATGGCATCCTAAAGTTATTTGTGCAGCCTGAAATGCAACAATTATAATAAGGCATCTTTTAGTATATAATTAGCTGGCTCACTATAACTTCTTGTCCCTCTAAACATCAACTAGACCCAGTGCTCTGCTTGATTGGGAAATGGCTAATTGCTTTGGTTTGCAAGTATGACGCTTCAGCACAAAGAGTTATTGTGGTACAACTTGCAGGTTAACTAACCTGCAGGTTTTCTAAGAGATGAGTTCGTTACGAAAAAACGAACATTTTTTCTTTTTTTCAAATTGCACTCGAAACCATATACTATTACACCAACACGAATTGAAAATAAATATTATATAAATAATTGGTATAGAAAATACTGGAAGATGGTTTATGATAAATCTACACTGGAACCGTAAAAATTAAGATTAATTGCACCGCAAAATTCTTGTTCTTTTACTTACCAAGAATTATAAAAATAATTACTAGTTTTAAGAATAATATAACTTAAATCTGCTTGATTTTGCATTATCTTATCCACTTATCAATAAAATTTATTGACAACGCAAATTACTATATAATATACCATAGTAGAAACGAGCCGTTAACTTATTTTATATTAATATTACTAAAATCTTCTCCGCAATCTGTTAAAAATTGTCAGTAAATGCAGTAGATATATATTTTAAAAAAATAATGTGACATATTAAGTAACATATATTGTAACGTTTCATGACTATTTTTCTATTTATAATTGTCAGAATAAATTTTGATAGTTCCCTTTTTTATCTTTATACAAGTTATTTTAGTTTGTAATGTGTTTTATGTTTATGAAAAAATGGTGCGTCTATATTTGGCAAACCTATCAATCCGTTAGCTCAACTCATGTTCTCGACGACAGTTTAACATTCCTAACTCATATAACTCTTAGTTCTCATAACTCATAGTATTTATAACTCCTTTATCTTTTCCACTTTGTTTTATTACCCATTCCTTAGGTTTCTTTTTTCGTACTCGCTAATTTAGATACTCTCACACTCGTGACATCGCCTAGCCTGCGAGCAGGCATCACTTCTCGCTCACCTTGCCCCTCTCCTCAGAGAGAGAAACGTTCTCTTTATTTGCTCAAAATTACTAATTCTAAAATGATTATTTGTTCACTTCGACTGACCAACATTGTTCAACCTATGTCATATATTACCCAATTTTATCCAATTGCTTTCATATTCTTATTAATAGAAAAGATGCTCGCAAAACATTCTGGTGGTAGTCACGCGTCATCGATGCACAAGGTCTATTTACCCGGTTTAAAATAGCCGGCCGGAGTTAGAACCCTCTTCCTGTCGATTACATTTTGATAGATCACATTTCAATGGTAGCTCCTCCGCAGGGTTTTAGCCTGCTAAATACTAGGGGTTTTAGCCTGCGAATGGGTTTTTCCGACCACCCGATTCCTCGGATGAGATGCCTGCAGAGGAGACTATTTTGACGGTTTGAAACATATTTTCCCATTATTCATCCTTTCCCCATCCCTACCCCGGTTAACCTTTTACCTCGCATGTTGTAACAAATGAGCAGACGTCTACATGCACTCTGCTTGGCCCCCGCCTGCCACTGATCACCGACGATCCGATCATAGCCAAAACGATGATCTATTTTTGTCTTTATACTATAAAGAAGACGATACATATATTGTACCAGTACGCATAATTTAAACTCCTTTTAACAAGTCATCGATCATGCAGTATTTATTTATAAATCAGTCTTGGTAATGTCAGTTGCCCTTAGCATTGATATATAAAAATGCTGAAGTCATCTTACGGCATTCATATAGCACGTACTTATTAGATCTAAAATCTGTTTTGATAAAGTCATAACAATAATAACAATTAACATATTTCGAGTGAATTGCAAGTGCAGCATGGCGCCCTGAAAGGAAGTCACACTCTGACAAAACTTTCATCAAAGAGCCTCAGATAGTGTAAAGTAGCTTATAGATCGGTATAAAGCGAGAGTGTGTTACTTAAAAAATCGTCAGACACTTCCTCAAAAATCCCAAAATATCTTCTAAGAAAATCCCAAAATTTGTTAAAATCCATTTAAAAATCTCATAAGAATCTCGAAATTTGAGCCAAAATTCCTTTAATTAAAACCCAGACAAAGTTTCGCAAAAATATACCAAAATCTCTGAATATATTGCAGGGATTGTAAAATTCAACAAATCCTCGTATGCGCTTTTTTTCAGAGTAACATATATACACGTTCCATGATATAAACTAGGCACCTCGTATCTAATTTTCCAGTGCCCTAGTTTGTATTTTCTCGTGTGTACTTGTTTATGTAGCTACGAGGTGCGATTTTACTGGGGGTATTGGTTCATGCAGTGGTTATCGCTTGCCTCTCATGGTTAGTGCATGTGCCTTTTATCCCTCTCGCCGTGCTAGTCTGGTATATGTTTAAGGACAAACTTTCTCTAAGCCTCATGTTAATGATATATTAATTATATACAGTATTAGTCTGGTACAGTCTTACTTTAACAGGACTCCGGAGAAATCCTGCACTGTTTGGCGCACTCATCCTATCACTCCTTTCCACATGCGGCCAGGATTTCTTCAACAGGGGGCACTATGCTAAATAAAATAAATATCCAAATCTGAGTGCATTCAAGGTCATATGACTTATGACCGCCTCATAGAGCAAAATACATTCGGATTCACAAGATTGTAAGCGCAATTTGGCTTAAATTAATATAACATAAAAATCGCAAGTTGAATTTTCTCGGGGAAGGGAAGGGTGGAGGCAGTTGCCCTGCTCTACCCCCCCCCCTCCCCCGCTGTGTACGACTCTGTATGCAACTGGGACGAAATCAGCAAACATAATCAGCAACTGTATATTGTCAACAGTGGCTCCTAGAAATTATTTCTCCGCCCCGAATTGAGTGCCAAATAGCTTCAATACCCAGGTGTCTTACGATATTATACACGTGTTTTCTGGTTACCTACTCCACAGGGTTGTGTTGCTGCCAGCCCACCACGCTACAAACCACTACAAACACCAGGAAATTATAAAATATTTACGCTTTCGTGTTGTTATTAGTTCTTTATCGAAAGTGTTGAACGGAATTTGCTAGTGTTGTAAAAATAACCTCACAGGATGTACTGTTAAACTCGTTTACAATTTAATTCTCTGTAATTCTGTTTTAATTTAGTTGTCCGACGGAAATTCACCTAGGCGACTGGCGTCAGTGTGTCTGTGGCTGATTTCTAATGATTGATGTACTGCCATGAATAAGCATCCGGTATAGACGAATTGCTCATATGCCCTGTTGAAATAGGGTGCGCAGGTGAGGAATTGAGCCTGTTCGCATATAATTGGTCTGTAGCGAATAAAAGTATAGCATGCATTGCAAGGAGCGCGCATGCGCGTTAATCTCAACTAAATACACTCGGTTATTCTATGACCCTACAGTTCTAAACTGTTCTCTCTAGATCTCTGTTCTCTCCAAAGTTGTCATTGTCATTGGTATTGATAAGAAAAAGTATTGAAAGTCGCATCTTAATTACTTCAATTGCCACTGAGTGTGCCCTCACATTTCTAGAATAAAACTTTTAAACGCACGTACTGCATTTAATTGAGGGAAGTCAAAGTCATGCGTTTCTGCGTTCAATAGAGAATGGTTATAGGTGCCTCAGCCTTACAGTCTTCTGCTATTAAAATTATCCCATATAGCTATATGCATATACTTCTCCTGTCGACCTGCTTTTCAATTTAAGGAATTTTTGTTTATTTAAAATTTGAGACAAAAAAATTTAATTATAACTGGCAATCAGATCTATGTTTTGTTGTGGTAGTCAAGGTAAAATACTAGCGGATAGTCTCAGTTGTCACCACTGCATGAAAATTTTGTGGTCAATTAATATGTGTATAATATTTGTATAAAGTTATTTAAATTTGA